AGAAAGCTGAAGCACCATATTAGCACTGATGGTGGTGGTGGTGTGCTGTGGAGTGGGTTCCTACTCATAGCGACCCTGCACAGAGTTTCTGAGGCTGTCAATCTTTACAGGAGCAGGAAGCCTCATCTTTCTTCTGCTGAACTGCTGGTAGTTACGAACTGCTGACTTTGAGGTTAGTAACCAGACTCGTAACCATGCCTCTCAATATTTAGGAGTCTTGATGTGGCGCTGTGGGATAAAGCACTGGACCACAGGGGGGGTTTGATCCAACAAGGTCGGCGGTTCAAATTCACCAGTCACTCCTTGGAAACCCTACACAGGATCACTAGGAGTCAAAACTGCAGTTAACAACATTTAGAAGATATTGAGGAGCTAAACCTTTTGATAAATTTCCATTTCTAGTTTTCAAAGGTCTGTGAGTTTGCCCAGAGGTTCTCTTAATGCATTGCTTTCTTAAAAATGTACCACAAATATTTGGTGGCCACTCAAAAGTAAGCTGGGTCTATCAAGTTAAAAGAGCTTCGGTTTAGAAGAAGGTACACTGAATGCATCTAGACCTGAGACAAAGGTGTGTGCATCCATCTGTCGGAACACACGTGCTTTCGTTTTATTTCGATGGCAGGCAAAGGGTCCAGGACTGATAAGCAGAGAAATTTGGAGTGGGTGTGATCTTGACAGCAGCGGCTGCAGGCAGAACATTTGACAACGCCCTATAATCCCATCGTAGCCTAGCAATTTGCTGCTGGAATTTAAGATGCCTTCATTCATTTTACAAGGGATTTATCTATTTCTCACCCACCGCAACTTGCCAGAGGCATATATATATACATCTTCGTATTTATGCTTCCATTTAAGAATACGTTTCTGTTTTCTGTAGAATCTTCCTCAGGACTATGAAATGCCGTTTTCCTTGGATTCACAAAGAATTCTCAGTCTCCGCGGTTGCCCTCCCCCACCCCGTGTAAGGCCCTTACAAATAATTCATAGTGTGGGGGAGGGCTCCACTCGCTAGACCTGTTTGTATTCGACAGAAGAGAAATCTCTGAGAAAACGCAGCACTCTCTCCGCTACCAGGCCATTTAAACCCAAATTCAAATGGTCGGCTCTGGGATTACACCCTAACTTCCTGAGAAACAAAGGAAGAGATTTGTTCCCGAACCCGGCCGCAATCACCGACTCGAATTCTCTGCTAATTCCATCCCTTTGTCACGTGGGCGCTCGCTCCACACCAGTCCCAGGCAGAATAAGGCCGGCAGACCTTTGGAGTACGAAGCCTGGACAAATCATCCCCATCAAGAGGGCTGGTCTGGGAGGAAAGGGGGCGGGAGCGGAGTGCAGAAAGTCCGCCTTTTCGTGGGTTCCCGAACCCCCCGCCCCACCCTCTGGACATTTGCGTATTTTTTTACATAAAGATTGAGGTTGATAGCTTTCCAATATTTTAAACTGGAGCGCAAGGAGAAGAGTAAAAGCAGAAATGATGGGTGTGCAGAAGCTTTCTTTCAGTTCCTCTGCTCTCATTGGCTAAATGCGTTGCCTTGGCAACGGCGTACAGCTCCGCTGCTGAGCGCTTGTCAGGCAGCCGGCTGCAGGCTGAATTTTAAGCCAAGAATACACACTGTGGGAGAAAATCTGAAAGAAATTTTGCAAGGGCGATTTAAGCGTGAATACATACTTTGCGTTAAAAATTTAAATATAAGTAAGTGGGTGGCAGGGCAAGCAATATATAAACAACAAGAGGAAGGTTAGCAGAGGAAAGATGAAGGTAGCACGAGATACAGGGAGGGATGCAATAGTTAAAGCGAATAGAGACAAATATTGTACGTGGAGGGGATTGCAAACATTGTAATGAAGTAAAGTATATGATTTGCTGAAGGTACTGATGATATGCGCTGCAAACCGTCACTCAATTCTCAATAAAAAGTTGGAAAAAAGAATTGCCACCAAACCATCTACATAAATCCACCTTTCTACCAGCCTTAAAAAACTTACTGAAAACCTCTGTGAAATAAACTTGAGATCACTAGAGAATTTATCGTTTAAAATCATCTGAAAATCGTGAGCGCAAATATTAATAGTTTAGAGAATCTCTTGCTCACCTCAGTTATGTGGCTCAAATGCAGAACATTTACGCGGAAAAAAGCAAATGTGGAATTTTATTTTACACAAAAATATTTCTACAACTGTCTCTGAAAGAGCAATATTTTTACATGAAGTGATGAAATCTATACTTCTGAAACCTTCATGCACGACATACAGTGACCTAGATTGAGAGGAGTTATGTATTATAAACAGGCAAAAAAGAAATGCTTGGGGTCCCAACTGAAAATCTACCACAATAAGATCCATTTGTTTGTTATGAAATTTTCTGTCGATCTCTTTTAGAGAATTATATAGAATTAGGGTGTTGGGGGGGGGAAAAGGTTAGCAGATAAACAGAAGAATTTCGGGAAATGAGAAATCGTTAACATTTTCGACATCAAATCAGCTCCTGGTGAAAATTAAAATGTGCGGCATCGTAATTCCAAATGGGATGGGGGTTGGGGAAAAGCTGGTAACTAGTACACCCGCTGGGCCCGTCCCCCTCTCCCTCGGGTGGGGGTGGGGCGGGGGGCAATGCGGGCATAAAAAGAAAGCAGATCGTGGACCAAAATTCTCCAAGGGGATTGATTTCAATTCCAAGCCTCACCCTATTCCAAGACCCCTCCCCTAGAGAAATCCGAGAGGGAAGGACCCTTTAATCTACACTATCTTGAACAGGCGTTTTCACCCGAGCTACACGGAGACGGGGCTCAGAAACTGAAGCCCAGAAATGAAACCGTTAGGCGAGGAAGATGACCTGCCAGCTCACATGACAGGGTGTGGAGCGGAGCTCCCAAGCGCTTTGCGTCCGGCTCCTCCTTTGCACTTGCAAACAGGGCTGACAGTTCTGGGGTGTCTATGCTCCCTGCGCGGGTACAGTCACTCCTCTGTCCAATCAAAACCGACATCCGTGGCCCAAACTTACACCTGCCACTGCCATTTCGGCGGCTATGAGGTCACCTCCCCCCAGAGTTGAGCGCCAGGATTGGGATTCCAGCAGGAACTGTCTGACCTTGGGAATCAGTTACCACCGACGGTTTCTGCGTCTACAGGGGCTACATTAGAAGAAACCGGGTGCCCGATCCAGGGCCAGCGAGAGTGCATCCTCGAAGCTACACAGCTGGGCATTTGGGCGTTCTTGCCCCATCCCATCCTAACCTAGCACGAGCTGTTGTGTCTAGGGAACCTGCTCTCCGATCTCCAGTCTGGGCGCAGGGCGTGTCGTGTGTGTGTGTGTGTGTGTGTGTGTGTGTGTGTGTGCGCTGGATTTTTGTTTTCTAGACTTCTCTTTGTGTTTTGGCAATTAGATTAAAGAAAGCCCCCTCCCAGCCGGCAGCAGGAAAGGGAGGCGATGACAGCTGACGGTATTGGGAGGGTCGCATTCAACAGCTGCGGGCTCCATTCTGCTGTGGGAAGCTCTTCTCGCCAGAGGATAAAAAGGGGTCAGTCCCCCAGCAGACAGCCCTTCCAAAGTCGGGCGGGGGAGGGGCACCTCCCTCGTCGCTTTGCAGGGAATGTGTTCGGGTCTGCAGTGGCTGTATCTGCCACCCTTAACTCCCTCCCTTTAACCTAAGCACATTCGTCCTCAGGACCGACACACACACAACAATAAAAAGATCAGCTCCTTCAAATACCTAGACTGCGAATTTTCGTGGGGAAGGGTCCTACCCCGCATTTGCGCATGCGCTCGTGGATGCTCGCGTGTAGCGGAGTGCTACCTTGCGGGTACTGCAGTTCTTTGGCGTGTCCCACCCACGCCCGTAACAGGAGGCTGGGGACCTCGTGGCCAGCCCCCTCCTTGAGCTCTCGCGGTTGCATTTGCCGCGGTGTCCCGCGCACAATGAAAGGACAACGCGAAAGCTCGAGATGGGGCAGGCGACCGCCAGCCTTTGAGCTCAGAGCCAGGAACTCCGATTGTAAGATTACAATTGCTGAATAGATCCCACGCCTTTGTTCTGCCGACAGCCCCGCCCCGAGACCCACCCCAGTTTCTGCGGATCTGGTGGTTCACCCGCCACGGCCAGCACCTCCTCTGCCCCGGAGCAAAAGCCAACCCGCGGGGTAGGAGGGGACCTTGACCGCATCCCCGGCACGCGTGTACTCTACGGTGGACAGGGATGCGGGTGGCCGAGATGGCCCAAGCCCTAAGTGTTGCGCTAGCAGTTGTGGGGGAAGTGGCCCTGGACAGAGACAAAGAAAGGGACCAAAGAGGGCAACGTGGGGCTGTTGGGCCATGAGGACCCGGAGGAGCCTCTCAGACACAGCCTCTCGCTCACACTCCACTTCCGCCGGGGGCCGCCTGTTCATCCCCCAAGCTGTGCGTGTCAAGACCTCAACCTCACGGCAGTCTTTGCTCTCCAGGGCTGTGGAGAGAAGGCCAATAGTCTCAGCCGCAATGGGTGGCCAGGGGAGCTCGGGCTCTGGCTCCCGCCGAAACGGAGCCAGATTCCTTGCGAACCTCCATCACACACCTGCAGACATCTCCACATGCTCCGGCCTCTCCCCCTTCCCAGTGTCCAGGTTCCCGGGCCTTCTACCCCACCCACCCTCCAACTCCCCAAGACCCGACTTTCTCCCCACCTCCCGCAGTCCTAGACAATGCGCAAGACCCCACCTCACTCTCGAAGTCCCCACCCCTCACCCCGGCCGTACAGTCAAGCTGATTGGCCGCTGATCCGAGTCCAGTCCCCCCTCTGTCTATCCCCTGGGCTTGGTGCATTACGTCAGTGAGGCGTAAAGAGCTCGGACTGGGGGGCTTGGGTTGGGGGCGCGGTCTGCGCGGGCGCCCCGCCTCCCGGCATAAAAGGCAGAGCCGGCGGCTCAGTGTCTCTCAGCCGGTGGGTTCCCAATTGCGGTCTTCTCGCCCTTTGAGTGGGTGTGGAGCGAAGGACGGATAGATCCAGTGGACACCGCCCAGCAAGGCACCATGCGTGAGATTGTTCACATCCAGGCGGGTCAGTGCGGTAACCAGATCGGCGCCAAGGTGGGTCTGCTCGGTGGAGGGTCGGGAGGGCTACCGGAGGTGTGCTGGGCGGGGCCGGGGGCTGGAGCGTCTCTGTGAGGTCCAGCCTGGGCGCGCACCCCGAGCCCTGGGCACGAGCGCAGTACTAGGCAGACAGGACTCCTGTAGACTACTAGCTGCTGGCTGCCCGGCCCCGCTGTGCTGCCGAGTGGGGCGTGGCTGCGACCTCAGCCGTTACCCAGGGTTCGAAGCCATCTCCTGGAAAGGAGGGCGCAGGCGGTGGTTTCTTGATTTTTTTTTTTTTTTTGCTGTTCACCCAAGGTACTCTGGTTTAATATTGTCCATTGAAGACTTGATTTTTTTTTTTTTTTTTTTTTTTGCTGTACTTCACTTGAGCTCTAGGCTGCCCCTCGGTTTCCCCTTCGGCGCTGCCAGAGGCGTGGTGTGTGCCTGGGGGGCCGCGGGCTGGCTCGGCGACGCGGAGAGTGGATTTTACTAGATTAAACCGGAGTCAGGCTGCGGAGGGCGGGGGAGGAGGAGCGTGATTGTCGCGCGGTGGACGAACGTGCTTTGAATGTAAAAGAAGCCTCCTGCTCTGTCCCTGCCCCCACTCCCTCCCCGCGGTCCCCAGGTCCCAGCGCGCCTCAGCCGGCGGCCTTGAACCTGCTGCTCAGCCCAGCTGCTGCGGCTCAAGCGCGTGCCTCAGGACCCTCAGCGGTGGACGCGCCCTAAGCGCCGCCCCCCCCCCTTTCTAGCGCGCAGTCCCAACCTCCTTCAGCCAGCAGCTGTTTGCCAGAGAAACGCCCAGCTTCAACTTTCTGACCCCAGAAAACCCAAGCCCTGCAAGCTGTGTCCCGGTCAGGCACCCGAAAGGTTGGGGTGTGTGTGTGTGTGTGTGTGTGTGTGTGAGAGAGAGAGAGAGAGAGAGAGAGAGGCCCTTCTGCGGGCGGGACATGGCTAAATGCAGTCCTTTTCTTGTCTTAGTTTTGGGAGGTCATCAGTGATGAACACGGTATTGACCCCACTGGCAGTTACCATGGCGACAGTGACTTGCAGCTGGAGAGAATCAATGTCTACTACAATGAAGCCACTGGTAATTGCCTTTTCCCTCCCCTCCTACCCTGGGGTAGCTCCAGGGGGGTGGCCCCAGGGAGGTCCGGACCAAGGGTTAGGACTCCCCACTCATCTGCTATTTCGGTGGACTCCATGTCTGCAGGTCTCAGTCCCGTTTCTGTCCTACGCAGGTAACAAATATGTACCCCGAGCCATCCTAGTGGATCTAGAGCCCGGCACCATGGACTCAGTCCGGTCAGGGCCATTTGGCCAAATCTTCCGGCCAGATAACTTCGTGTTTGGTAAGAGATTTCATAGCTAAATGGGGTGGGGCTCATTTTACACTAGATAGCTCCAAGGGGGGCAGGCTGAAGGGAAGCATGAAGAACATCCAGTTTGGGGTCAAGTAAATCCTCATAGTCTAGGAACATATTACCTTTCAGCTTAAGCCAGGTCTTCTAGCCTTCCTTGTTTGTAATTACATCCTAATGTCTGGTCATTGTGGAGGTAACCTGAAAAAACCTTATCTGAGTGCTGACTCATTGATTTATACTAAAGGGCTTAAGATAAGAAAGAATTTAATACAATCATCAGTCACTGATGAAGCCCCTTTCCCTGTGGCAGGCCAGAGTGGTGCCGGCAACAACTGGGCAAAGGGCCACTACACAGAGGGGGCAGAGCTGGTGGACTCGGTGCTGGACGTGGTGCGGAAGGAGTCTGAGAGCTGTGACTGTCTCCAGGGCTTCCAGCTGACCCACTCCCTGGGGGGCGGCACGGGGTCTGGGATGGGCACGCTGCTCATCAGTAAGATCAGGGAGGAGTACCCCGACCGCATCATGAACACCTTCAGCGTCATGCCCTCCCCCAAGGTGTCAGACACTGTGGTGGAGCCCTACAACGCCACACTCTCGGTCCACCAGCTAGTGGAGAACACAGATGAAACCTACTGCATTGACAATGAAGCCCTCTATGACATTTGCTTCCGTACCCTGAAACTCACCACTCCCACATACGGAGACCTCAACCACCTGGTGTCTGCCACCATGAGCGGGGTCACCACCTGCCTGCGGTTCCCAGGCCAGCTGAACGCAGACCTCCGCAAACTAGCTGTGAACATGGTGCCCTTCCCACGGCTGCATTTCTTCATGCCCGGCTTCGCCCCCCTGACCAGCCGGGGCAGTCAGCAGTACCGTGCCCTGACGGTGCCCGAGCTCACCCAGCAGATGTTCGACTCCAAGAACATGATGGCAGCCTGTGACCCCCGCCATGGCCGCTACCTGACGGTGGCTGCCATTTTCCGAGGCCGCATGTCCATGAAGGAGGTGGACGAGCAGATGCTCAACGTGCAGAACAAGAACAGCAGCTACTTCGTGGAGTGGATCCCCAACAACCTCAAGACGGCCGTGTGCGACATCCCGCCCCGCGGCCTCAAGATGGCAGCCACCTTCATCGGCAACAGCACGGCCATCCAGGAGCTGTTCAAGCGTATCTCGGAGCAGTTCACGGCCATGTTCCGGCGCAAGGCCTTCCTGCACTGGTACACGGGAGAGGGCATGGACGAGATGGAGTTCACCGAGGCCGAGAGCAACATGAATGACCTGGTGTCCGAGTACCAGCAGTACCAGGACGCCACGGCTGACGAGCAAGGGGAGTTCGAGGAGGAGGAGGGTGAGGATGAGGCTTAAATTCAGAACTGAAAGCAGGTTAGGGAAAGATTTAGGAGGAATGAAAGGGGGTGGGGGGTGTTCTGATGAAATATCTTGGCAATTGAAGGAAAAAGCATGGTTGTATTTAGGTGTGTCCTGGGTACTCTTCACTGTTGCCCATCACTGTTTTTGTTTTTTGTTTTTTTGTAATACTGATTACATCAATGTAACATTTGCAATATTTCTGATCTACTGCTGTAATGGCTAAAATCATATAAACATTTGTGTCCTTAATGGTGTCCCCTTTTCTTTCTCTTTCTCTCTTCGGAGTTCTTTATTATCAACTTAAATGTAGCTTTCAGAACACACTACATTAAATTGTCTCTTTAAAATCAGGGGTGATGCACAAGTTCAAATGAACTCACCCTGTGGTAATATGGAACCAAATACAGTCAGACACAATTAAAATGCCTTGATATTCATATTTCATTAGTTGAAAGGAAATCTATTTGAAAGCACACTAAATACATTTTCATGTAAAAATCCTGATAGATACCAAAAATCTAAGCCAGTTGACATTATCACATCACCTCCAATTCATGGGGCTCATGTGTGTCAGAATAGAATTGCTCCGGTAGGCTGTAACCTTTTGGAAGCAAATTGGTACCCCTTTCCCAAAGTGCCTCTGGATGGGTTTAAGCCATCTATCTTTCAGTTAATAGGCTCCTAGATAGGTAGGCACTTGGTTGCCTTTGAGTCAGCTGTAACTCATGACCCCAGAACAAAACATTGCCAGTCTTGTGCTACCTATGAATACCACCATATTCAAATTCAAACTTGCAGTACTGAACTCATCCATCATCTTGCCAAGGGCCTCCCTTGTCCTTACTGGCTCTCTTACTTCACCAAACATGACATCTTCCAATAATTGGTCTTTCCCAATGGCAAAGAGCTCTGGTAGCGTAGTGGTTACGTATCAGGCTGCTAACTGTGAGGTCAGCAGTTCACTGCTACCAGCTGTTCCACAGGAGAAAAATGAGACTTTCTGCTCCTGTAAAGATTTGCAGCCTCGAAAACCCTGTGCAGGGTTACTATGAGTCAGAACCCAACTCCACTCACGGCACTTAACAACAATGGCATGTCCAATGCAAAGGAGTTATACAATGTTCTATTGTAAGTCATAGGGTTTTGATGAGTTTATTTTTTTTGAAGTAATCTCTAAATTTTTCTTCCTAGTCTGCCTTAGTCTGAAAGCTGTACTGAACCCTGCTCACCTACTGTATTGGAAATACCATGGGCAGAACTTCAGCATTATAACAAATAACATGCAAACCACTCCAGAACAATTGGTAGACAAATGGTAGGTAGAAATCCTAGGATGTCTTAATTTTCTTTACCAAAAAAAAAAGTGAAAATGCACACAGTATAAATTCTCAAATGGTAGTGTTAGATACAACTCCTGGATCACAGTGTGCCTCTATGGAAAATGACTGTTACTGCTTTTCTTGTATCCTTGCAAACATAGATATTTTCAAACACACAGATGATTCTCTTTTCCCTCTCACACTTGGTCTGCTTGATACAAGCATTTTTCTTCAGGATCCCTTTGTCACTTAACAGTGGATATTAATATAGAGAACTTCCATCTTCATGGATACTTGGTTGTGAAGGACTCAGTGACCCTGTATAGGGTTTCCAAGGAGTAGCTGAAGGGTTTGAACCACTGACCTTGTGGTTAACAGCCCAGTGCTTAATCTACAGCACCACACCAGGAGTCATGGATTCATAGGACTTGTAGTTGGGCTTTGCTGTCAGTTTCCTACTGGTGGGTATTTCGTTTGTGCATATTTTTTTTCCATACTGTAGTGTCACAATGAATAACTGTGCATATGTCACTGTGCACTTGAGGATCGTTACCTAGTAAATTTCTATAAGTAGACCTTTGTGTCAAAAGATACATGATATCTTTTTAAGGAGCTCTGGTAGCGTACTGGTTACAAGTTGGGCCGATAACCTCAAGGTCAGCAGTTCGAAACTACCAGCCATTCTGCAGGAGAAAGATGAGACTTTCTGCTCCTGTAAAGATTTACAGCCTCAGAAACCCTGTTACAGGGTCACTATGAGTTAGAACCGACTCCACGGCACATTACCCACCATACCTTTTTAAACCCATGGAATCACCTGTACTTAGGAAAAATCACAGATAAACACTGGATTGACTGCAAAGGCAGTTTGAACCACAAAGTAGGTGCGGTGGTTCAAACTCAGCAGCTGCTCCTTAGAAAACATACAGGATCTCTATAAATCAGAATCAACTCCAGGGCTTTTAACAACAACAATATGCTAAAATTTTCAAGCCACTTTTCCCCCAGTAATCATTTATGGTGTTATAAATTCTGGGTTATTGGAGAATTTTACTCTGAACAGGCAAGCAACAGTCATTTCAACAGGAGTCCTTGTGTGGTGCTCTAGGGTAAGCACTGGATTGCTCACCACAAAGTTGGTGATTCAGACCCAACTCAACAGCACTGAACAGCATTATTACCATGTGACTTAGAGAAAAATCCATCTGAGGTCACATTTCCGAGATGTGGAGCTCAAGGCACTAAAGAAGCCATTTCAGTAAGTGATCTTACTTAAGATTATATGCTGTTCCAGGGTGAATTACCATGTCAAAAACTGCTGACTGCTAGGTCAGTTTCTAATTTTGGAAAATGAACTGGAATGTACGTTACAAACAAATGTACAAAATCTATTTACATGTTAAGTGCTGTCAAATCAGTTCCTACTCATACTGACCCTGTATAGGGTTTCTGAGGAGTGACTTGTGTGTTTGAACCACTGACCTTGAGGTTCGAACCGACCTTCTGGCCCAGTGCTTATTCTAGAATAAAGATGAGAACTAGGCCAAAGGTTTTACCATAAAAATTAGAAAATATCTAATTGTCAATCTGACCATGTATTTATTTCATTATATTGGTTATATTGTTAAGTGTCATCGAGTCAGTTCTGACTCATAGTGACCCTGTATAGGGTTCCCAAAGAGCAGCTGGTGAGTTTGAACCACTAACCTTGTGGTTAACGAACCAGTGCTTATCCTACAGCACCACATCAGGACTCCCTATTTCTGTGTCCTCTTTTTTTTTTTTTAATTGAAGGGTAAATAAAGGATTTTCATATTAAAGAGGCTGAAGTAGTTTTGAAGAATATACCAAAGAAAAGTATGACCAATGTCATTGTAAACAGTGAAAATAAAGTAGATGGCTTCCATAAATGGAAAAAAGTTGCAATTCCTGCAACAGTATTACCTATGATGGGAGCTTGACCAAGTGGTGAGTAGGTCAAACCAGGGTCAGGAGCCAGGGACGCCAGCTCCAATTTTCTATATTTTACAGAAATGGCAGGTGCTGCTCCCTGCTGGGCTCGTGTGAAGCTTCCAACAGCCTAACTGAAGAGTGCCAATGGTTTGAAAGGCCCTCAACACTTGAACTAACTGCCGAGGTTTCCTGTATCAACCCTTGGCTTGTACCATTCCCTACAACCTGTCCTACAAACATCCAGTCAGTTTACAAAAGTGGGGCCATATCGAGGGGCTCTTTAAGTGTTGTGCCTTTTCCCACCTGGCGAAAGGTGAGAGGCAGGACCTCAGTAGGCCAACCTCTACTCTATCACCGTACCTCCATCAGCTCACCACCATGGATAGCTTAGTTGGCATGGTTAGAACAATGGGTGTCAAACTGACAGCCACGCAGATGCTTTGGGGCCTCCAGAGTCACCATGTATATAATAGAGACCTTGAATTCATACCTAGGATAACCATCCTAAGTCAGGAAATTCTCAGACTCAGTCCAGAACTCAGAGAGACTGTTTGGAGCTGTTGGTTTCCTTGGTTAGGTTGTTGTTTTGTGATACTATTTAATGGTTGTGCTGGTGTGATGATGGGTGAGGGTGAGGGTGAGGGGAGATGGTGTTGGTGGTGGTTTGGAAGGAGTTGGTGGCGGGGTGATTACTGGGTGATCGTGAGGGTGAGGGGAGATGGTGTTGGTGGTGATTTGGAAGGAGTTGGTGGCAGGGTGATTATTAGGCGATCGTGAGGGTGTGAGGGAGATGGTGTCAGTAGTGGTTTGGAAGGAGTTGGTGTGAAGGAATGTAGATGGTGATGGTATGAATGAGTAATGGTGATGGTGGAGATGGTGGTGGTAACTGGTGGGTGTGTGTCTGTGTGTAAATGTATATATTTTAACACATCCCATAAAAAATATTCCATCCCTCCTTAGCATGCTGCCAAGGAAACTATTCACTTTTAGTCAGGCACAGGGTTGTGTTGTTAAGTGCCGTCAAGCTGGTTCTGACCCATAGCGACCTTGTATAGGGTTTCTGGGAAGCAGCTGGTAAGCTTGACCTGCCCACCTTGTGGTTCAAACCAACTTTGCAGTCCAGTACATTAGCCTATGGCACCACAAAATACAAGACCCACTGGGATGTGATGCAGAATTCAAAGGTTGGAATTACAGAAGGAGAATTGTTACCCTGAGGCCCTCCTAGGACTGTGAGAAGGAACTGGACCCTCATTGTACAGTCCCAGGGATGAGGTGATCTAAGATCATGTTCGCCTTCCCATTGCATCACTGTTACAGATTGGGTTTTATCCCCTAGAAGATATGCTGAAATCCTAACCCCTGCACTTGTGACTATAACATTACAAGTAGAGTCCTTGTGTTTGCATTGAACAGGAGACCATACTGGAGTCGGTGAGTTCTAATCCAGTCTGAGTGCTGGCATTATGAGTCACGCACTTGTAAGTCAGGGAACACCAAGCATCACTGTCTGTCCCCAGAAGCTAGGAGGACCCAATTTTCCCTCCAGGTCCTCAGATGGAATCGCTACAGACAACAATTTCATCTTCCAGAGCTGTGAGACAAGAAATCTGTTCCTATAAGCCACTCAGCTTGTGGTCCTTTGTTCAGAGAGCCCAAGGAAACTAAGAGAATCACTGAAAGTATATTATATTAATGGAAATTCTAACTAAATGCAATCTTAAGAGATCCGCCGCTGATGTAACTTCTTTATGTGTCAGTAGGAAACTGAGGTACCAGAGATTTCAATCTGCAGAAGCCCTCTGAAAATCAGGTCTTGGGCCTACTGCTGTGTTCACAAGGGCCACATGAGGATTCCCTGGCTACAACAAAACTCAGTGAGATGTCTTGGTCCCCAAATCAGCCTTTTCAAATAGGCAGGACACAGACTGCCAGACGTCTGTCTCTAATGGGCTCATTATTTGGAAACGCT